CCCTAACCCTAACCCTAACCCTAACCCTAACCCTGCTAGTGCTTAGCGGGCTAATTAGACTAGGCCGGATTGGCCCAATTTAGAATTTAGACCAAGCTGAGGCGGGTCCTAACAGTGCGGGGCTGCGCTCCAGGGCACCAGTCCATTACAACCCCAACTTAGACCGAGAGATAAGCGAATTATTGCCGGGCGATATAGAAATACCACTAGTTTCCCTTAGCGCCACCTATAGTACTGCTGGTTTCGTTAGGCCTAAGCTATTTCTCGAGGCCCCTTTTAAGATAGTTAGTAGTTAATAAAATAAGAGTTGTCTCTGCGTGCTAAAAGCCCCTATATGCTGAAAAGTCAATTGGGTAAGACCTTTTGCATGCACATTCCTAGGATTGAAAACATAGCAGATACAAGCTCAGCCTTCAGAATCAATAATTAAGAAATAGCCCTTCGCTACCATCATTCATATCATTAAATTGATGCTTGGTTGGAAGGCTCTATTTTTACTACGTAGGTCTATAATTTAACAATTTTAAGCATCAGCCTATGGCCCCGAGGTGCGATATTGAATCGATCTTCTATCTCCATTTCCCAGGCCTGCATTTCTTGCCCAATAGATAGTTGTAAGTCTGCACACATGATCTCATTAATTGCCAGATAAAGTTCTTCCCATGCGAGGTTTTGACCTATGCAGTTCCTCCGGCCGATGCCAAATGGCGTCAAAGCACCTTCCATGTCTTCAGAGCTCTCCAGCCAACGGTCTGGGATGAACTGTTCAGGTTGGGAAAACACTCTAGAGTCCCGGTGGTGCAACCAGTTCTGCATTCCAACGACGGTACCTTTAGGCAGAATATAGGTATCTATATTCAATGGCTCGAGAAGAACACGAGGAATTGTGGAAACTATTGTAGGAAACAAGCGCATTGTTTCTTTGATTACGGCGTTCAGGTAAGGCAGTTGACGAAGCACTGCAGTATTGTGAGTAGACAAGCTCTTCAATTCTTGGCGCAGTCGCTCTTGAATATGCTCATTCCCAGGTAGAGATATTGCATATAAGAGGTAAGTCAGGGTCGAGGATGTTGTACCACTACCGGCAAACATATATCCCATTGCTTCTTCCACAAGCTCCTCATGGTTCAATCTACGCCCAAGAAAGGTATCAACGCCTGTCGCAAGAGGCGAGAGGAGGTATTGATCGTTAGAGGCAGACTTCTCAAGGAAGTGATCCACAAGCAAACGTGACTGTTGTTCCCAATAATCGAATTTTCGGTAAGCGTCCCCAACCAATCCTGGGAGTCGCAGCCCTAGGCCACATGATTTGAGCCACGGAAACACATTGTTGAACAATAGTGTAGGTGCGCTGCCCTCCATGGCTTCTAAGAGCTTGACCGCTGCTTGAGTATTCGTATCCTGACTGAAATCTTTTGCGAATGCAGCTTGACAAATAGCCTCGAAGCTGAAAAGACCGCAGAGCTTGTATACGTCGACTGTGTTCGTCACTGCAGCACTAGCTTCAGTAATGAATCGCTGCACCATTCTTTTTGCGCACTGCCGGATTAAAGGATCCAGCCTGCCTACAGACTGAAGGGAATAGGGTGGACTGCTGAGTCTCCGGCGGGCTGCATGTTCAGCTGGATTTCTGTTGAAATAAGCTTTGTATTACAATTTGACGAGCGTACGTACGTCATTTGGAATATATTGTTTTTTCCAACAAAAGACGCGCCTTCGTAAAAGGAAGGGTCTTTGACTGCGATTTTGCTGCTCGTATAGATAGTTCGAAGATGTTGCCACCCAGCAATTGATACTTCATTGGGACCAATTCGAACTACGGGACCATATCTATTGTGATAGTCTTCGACTTTCTACAGTCATGTCAGCGAGGTGAACAGCAAAACTATCAGCGACAAGTACATACGTAGATACGACGTCCCTTCAGTCCCTCTAATACAACTGTCCAGCTCGACAAACGGGTGAAAAGGGGGCCTGGAACATGCTTTAGTGGGTTGCGAAACAGATCGACGACTAGCTATACGATTAACCAAGTAAGCAACAGCTACTAGGTGATATCTTAGATAATACTGGTAGATCGGGCTGTCTTACTTTTGAAACAAAGACAAGAATGACTGCCCAAACAGTAATACCGATCAGTCGCTGCCTGGTGGGCATCTGATTGGTAGAGTCATCCAAGGTTCGGGAAAGCATTCTGTGAGTCATGATGTTTAAGTCATTTATTTCAAGTAAACTTTGAACTGTGCATTGGGATTGAGATGTGACATATGGATCAGGATGTCAATTGCAATAAATACACAGCTGATTTGTTGCATACCAACCACACAGCGCCGTAATGCCTGTGAACCCCGTCTCTGTGTACTGCATCTATCGGTATGTGGAGATCCTAGTCATGCGGGAATGCGGGGATGTGGGGATTTAATGCTGCGGAAATGCGGGGGGTGTGTGTGGAGATTATAGTAACGCCGAAATACGGGGACGGGTCCCGATTCAGGGATGGGAAACGACTCAGGGACCTAGACTGTTCGGTGTCGTCCCTAGCTTTCGCGGCCTTTGTGTACATTACTCACACTTGGTTCCTGACTTCTAATCTTTTATTTTCTAGAGGAAAATCAACTTCAGTTCTTCACAAAGGAATATATGCTTAAAAGAAGAACAATCTTAGTAGCCGCCTGTTGAGAAAATTTGCTTTGATGGAGGATCACTTATCATGAGGAGAAGGCATTGTTTTAAACTAACCGGTGGCGGTGAGCAGCGCATAGGGTACTAGTTCACTAAGGTTAGCCTTCTCCTATTCCGCACTATCAATGCCGCGCGTCACGGCATTCGGGTCGTGGGGCAAATTTCGTATCCAATAGCTGATACAAAGTCGTCGAGGTTCCCTTTATGCTTCATGTCTCGATAATTCACTTTTGCGATCCAAGCAGTCTTCTTTGACGCGATAATTTGGGGACATAGTCATCCCCCCGAGAAAGGCTTGAAAGCAGCCATGAATACCAAAAATGAATCACCCACATTCACAACAGATGTCGCCTCAGGGATTGTGGACACGAAAGTTCACGTTCACGCAAGGACAATCGTAGCAATAGCGGTGTGTAATCTTTTACCGTGAGCAAGACGCTAGCTAATAAATAATTCCTTCAAACAGGCTGTCTGCTTCATAACTGTGGCGCAATTAATGTCTGTCGTCGGCTCAGGCGTTTTGGCTCGAGAAATGGCCACTACTCTGGGTGCCCCAAGTCTATCCGCATGGTTTGGAGCAATCATAACAACACTAACCCTGGCAACAATTCTTCCAATCAGCCAGGCCTCGGACTATTGGGGCAGGAAACCTTTCATACTAGCATCCTCCACGTTTGGTGTAGTTGGATTCATTATTGTATCTCGGTCAAAGAACATTGCGACCTGCTTGGCTGGCTTCACGCTCGGTGGTGTGGCATTTGCCTGCCAGGCTGTTTGCTATGCCATCCCCTCCGAGGTCTTACATCGCAAATATCGTGGATACGGTCAGGCTAGCGTAACCATCGCAGCCGGTCTCGGCGGTATGATTGGAATCATAATTGGTGGTGCCTTCACGCGGTCAAATGGCGAAAACTGGCGTAATTACTGGTACATCTGTTTCTCATTGTATGCTTTGGGACTTGTAGGCATCTTTTTCGGATACAATCCGCCACCACGAGAGCTTGAAGTTACGCTTAGTACACCACAAAAGCTCCGCAAGATCGACTGGATTGGAACCTTTCTCATCGCCGTTGGATTGATTTTATTTGTCATCGGGCTCCAATGGTCTGGCAATCCTTACCCTTGGAAGAATGGCCACGTTTTAGGACCCTTTGTCACCGGTATATGCCTGCTTATTGCTTTCGGCATTTGGGAATGGAAAGGCACCAACGAAGGAATTTTACATCACAGCCTTTTCAGGGACCGGAATTTGCCTATTTCGACACTGCTCATCTTCATTGAAGGTCTCGCGTTCTTTACAGTGAACAACTTCTTCGTCTTCGAGCTTATCATTGTCGGTCATGTCGGCTCATTCCCTGCCGTCTTTCGATTTGCCGTTATATTTGCGGCTTCAATTGTTACTGCATTCCTCACGGGAGTTTACATCACCTGGTCGAAGCGGGTTCGGGAGCCACTTGTCTGTGGTTTTCTCTTACTCACAACATTCCCCATTTTGATGGTGTTCTTTAAAGGGAGTCTCCCAGCAGCTAATGCATACGGCTACGCGACCATTTCTGGCTCAGGCCTTGGGTTGATACTAACAGCTGCTCTAGTGGCAGCTCAAATGAGCAGCCCACCAGATCAGATTTCCCTGAGCTCTGGACTTCCTACAGCTGCCCGATCTCTTGGAGGTGCTGTCGGGGTAGCGATCAACAACGCAATTTACAATAATAGTCTCAGCTCCAAACTGCCTCGCTTAATCGCTGAAGCCGTCCTTCCTTTAGGATTCAGTCCTAAGGACCTTCCTGCACTGATTGGAGCGATTGCATCCCAGAATCAAGCTGCTATAGTTGCGATTCCGGGCGCCACACCAGCGATCATTGGTGCAGCGTCTCAAGCTACAACAGAAGCCTACAGGCTGTCTTTCAAGAACCTTTGGATTGCATCCGCCTGCTTTGCAGGTGCTGCTGCTATTTGTGAGTCGTAATTCCTTTTTCCTCATTTCATTCCAGTCTATCGAAGTAATGCCTAACTATTGGATTAGGTAGCTGTTTTATTAAAAATTCTCCGGCTAAATTCACCGAACACATTGATGCTCCAGCAGAGGCAGAAGTTTTACGTGACCAAGAAGACATTGAGATGAGATATCATGGTAAGACTGACGAGGCAAATATCTGAAGACATGTCTTAAATTTGATCATCTTTGTGGCGTAAAGCCTATCAAATGGTTTTTCTTAGAAACCAATAGCAGGCCACACTTCTAACTTACTGGGATTAAATATTAAAATAAGACTGTATAGCTAGGATATTAACTTAAATAAAAGACACTGTTGCAACTAAGCATCTGTTAGAAGCATGAACTTTGTTAATAATACCATATACTGATTGACCGTGGATTAGCCGACAGTCTCTATATAAGCAGATAGGACGACGCGGATGTGTTACAAAGGGTCGGGTACTAATATTTCTCTAAGCTCGATCCGGTTTACAGCCAGTGAGATAGTCCGAATAGCGCTCTAAGGTATTTATGTAGTAATATAGTATGTACTTATATCAAGTAAAAATAAAACTTAAATATAGGGCTATAAAATAAGGTACCAAACTTCCTAAAGAGGTAAGAACTGATAGAGATAATTAAGAAAAACCATCTTGAAGGTAGAGACCTATTTACTACTCCAAATGTATTAAGTCTAGCTGTAACACTTATAAGACGCTTAACTCTAGAAGTCTTATATTACTTCCACTCGAGCTATACTCTTAATACAACGCTACCTATAGGTAGAGGGGTTCTAGACGTCAGGTAGCTAATTACATCGCTAAGATAGAGAGTAGTAGCTATAATAATAGTGTAACGTCTACGAAGAGGGTGCGCAGTAGCGGCGCTATAGGCGTTGTAGCCAAATTGGACATAACTCTCGTTGGTGCTAAGCAGAATTAGAGGATATAGTAGATAACGACGCGTTTAAAGAGTAATATCTTATTCTACTTATTAAGAAAAATCGTAGTGGTGTTGCGCAATATTATTGTAAAGGTAGGGTGTAGTGGTGGAGCTGACCACTCGGTGGCGAAACACGTTATACTGAGTAAATACACCCTCTTTAAACCTAATTAGTTTCTTTGAGTAGGGTGTATAATCTACGCGTGAAGGTCGTCCTGCGCGTCCACAGCTTAGTGTCTTGCGAGAGATGTTATGGATAGCTACAGCGCGTCGCTGCAAGAGACTTGCGTGTTTTTCAAGAGCCTAAAGGGCAAGCTATATATAACACGTAGCAGAGGGTTCTAAATGCTCTTGTTGTTGCGACATTAGGGTATGGTAGGTGTTTTGGTGAGGTCTTGGCAAAAGTGGGCCACTCACCTGTGAGGTACGTTAAGTAATTGCGTTGTTGAGACATGACGCGTTATGGTATCGATGAAAACGCGCTGGTGGCGCGTGAGCCATTCGCTTGTTGACCACGTCATCTCCACAATATGTTATTTAATGATCGATTCTGTAATAAGGCTACCTCTTCAGACTCGGGTGGTCGATTCCGTAAGGTTGTGTCTTTAGGCTCGGGTTCCCCCACTTGTGTGGAGCCGAAGTCTCTACACCGGGGCTCTCATACACCCGGTAAAACCGGGAAATGGCGGCCCTATCAGCCGCGATGCAATACAAGTACCACGCCAAAACACCGCCAAAACGCCGCCAAAATACCGCCAAAGCACCGCCAAAACACCGCATTGTTACGACCAGTCATAGAATGTGAAAGATATTTCACCATTATATTCTTTCAACAAGGTAGTATGAAGATAAAGACTAGGTATTTCATCGTGCGAATTTCCTATAAAAAAAATAAGCACGTTATAATGGAGATATTTCGTGGTGATGATGAGTTTTGGTAGGCAAAGCCCGGTTGTTTTGATTTTCCGGTTTTGCCGGGTGTATGGGAGCGGGGGTCTGGACTGGGTCTCTGACCAGAGGGTCGGATCGGTTCTTCTAAGGACCAATCACCATCACCAGAACGCTGAGCCCGCAACAAAATCCACGCATCAGAACTGGCCCTTTAGAAGTTGGACGAACAATTGAAAATATCGGGTCTCTTGAGTATGTCGCAAAATACGTTGATACTCGCAAACAAGGTCGCTGTCATCAGCGGCTCCAGCCTTGGGATAGGCGCAGAAATCGGGAGGGAACTAGCCTCCCGTGGTGCGCACATTGTCCTAAACTACCCTTTCAACAGCATCTAGCAGGAAGCCGAGGCCCTTGCGGCAAGTCTACCAACCAAGAGCATCGCTTTTGAAGCGGACATATCAACAACAGATGGCCTAAATATACTTGTACAGGAAGCTTTGAAGGCGTACGACAGAATTGACATTTTGGTCAATAATGCTGCACTCGCGGTGAACAAGCCATTTGAAGATCAAACACTGGAGGATTGGGACCTGTTTGTTAACCTCATCGGACGCGGTACCTTTCTACTTACCCAAGCTACCTTACCTCACGTGCCAAGGGAAGGTGGTGGAAGGATCGTCAACATTGTTTCAATCGCGGCTCGAGAAGCACCGCCGATGCAAACTATCTATGCCGGAAGCAAGGGCATGGTGGATAGCTTCACCAAAGTATGGGCGAAAGAGCTTCCCTCCAAATACGGCATCATGGTAAACGCCGTCAGCCCAGGACCTACCATGACCGAAGGTTTCGCAAAAGCTGGGCAGTCGTTCATGGAAATGATGCGACCTGCGATAGAAAAAACGCTAGTTGAAGGTCGATGGAAAAAACCTGAGGAAATTGTCTTTGCTGTAGGCTTTCTGTGTGAGCCGCGGGCCAGTTGGATTAATGGTTTGCCTCTGATCAAGACGGAGGCCTCTTCATCGACTGAGTCGGTGAATTAGAAGCCCTCTTTGCTTTGACTGGCTCATAATGTAAATGATTATACCCATTGATCGATGGCAAAATGTAATTCGCATTTTTTGTGAGCTTCCGGGCTTCTGCATCCAACGTTCTACGTTGCTCAATATCACCCTCGCTCCCCGTTGCGTCAGCTGGGAAAACTGCAGCCATAGACTGGCCATCAGTGGTAGGTGTATCTATAGATTTCAGATGCTTCATAAGCTTTGCGATTGCGCAACGAAGGCCTAACTTGCTATAGCCTATGATTGCACCTTGACCTTGTTCTTCGCACAGACTGAGAGGCTGTATGTGACTAGGAGACTTCACATCATTATTTTTTACCGCTATTTTTAAGGATTGGCCGATTTCAGCCCTTTATCTGACATCACTTTGAAGCTATGTGGGAAACAGCAGACTGTCTCCAAGACTGATCACGTGCTCGCGCAACAGTACAGCAAGCTTACCTGACATTAGTGTCGAGTGGGGATAAGCTGGTACCACTGAGCAGCCGAAGAGGAGCTGCAGAGAAGTCATAGAAGCGTGGTAAGGTTATTGACCTCGCTGCAAGATGTGCCAATTTTTGGGCGTGGAAGCGGGGTAATTGGCGGGGACGTTCTCGGGAATGTGGGGATGGGCCACGTCGCCCGCGCCGCGCCCTCATCAAAACCTTCTGTGGCGGATTTGGAACCTTCACTCACCTTATGTAGCGGTTAGTTTCGGATTTCGTGTGAATATTCATGTCGACCACTCAGGAGGCTGTTCCCGAAACCATAAGCACAGTTGGAGGGTTGTTCCAATGCACAATATGCTCCCAGACCTATTCTCGGGTCGACCACCTTGCTCGCCACGTTCGTTCACGTACGTCCACTTTTCCGTAGCCTGTCGCACCCGAGTTGTGAGTCTTGCTGACTTCTAAGGCAGATACGCAGGAAAAGCCCTATCGATGTGAGATTTGTAACAAGAGCTTCAGTAGAGTGTAGGTGACGTTGCATCTTACGTTTTGGCGCCTTGATTCACAAATTTGCATAGTGATTTGCTCAGAAGACATGGCTTGGTTCATGGTGCCGCAGGCAACGACTTCTCGAAGAAACGCCGTCGTGTTAGTCCTGGGCCATCAACTCCAGTTCGCGCTTGCAGAGCTTGTGAAGCGTGCGCTGAGCAACATCTGAAATGCGGAGATGATAAGCCTTGTGGACGATGTAGAAGAAAGAACATCAACTGCGTGGTCGGCCCCCGGCTGACCAATGTGACTCTTGAAGTCACAAATTCGCCGCGTATATCACCGCCGCGCATCGAACCTGAGTCAAGCATGCAAGCTCAGCTGCAAAATGTCGCTATGGGCGATGAGAACGTGACACAGAGTATCTATCGCAACCACGAGGCATTGAATTCTGCCGTGTTAGACCAAGCGCCTGGCTACAGCATTCCCCCACGAGAACTATCTGATCAGTTGCTCTCTGAACAGTCACAGGCCGTAACAGAAACAGAGAATGTTCCTCCTAAAGAGATACATACGTTACCTAGTAGCACACTGTTCCCCGCCCTCCCAAATGGAGCCCTTACGCCAAACAGGCTGTTCGGGTTTGGTGTGCAGTCGGATCTTGACTTCAGTGCGCTTGACCTCAGCTTCCTTGATACATACAACACGAGAGTTCCCTTTGAATTCGAAATTCGAAGCCTACATACACCCGAACAAGACACAAATTCGCCCGAACATCATCAGATGCAAAACCCAGACGGAAGGAATAAGACAACTTTGAGGGAAGCTCAGAAGCAGTCCACTTGGCGCTTTGTTCCTGTCCCTACCGATAGCAGATTTGCAGAACATGCCAATCTTTCCCTCCCAAATCAGGATACCATGGTAGATAGTCCCCAAAGTTTCGGGGACTTGCCTCAACGGGCAACAAAAGAAAAGCTTGATCCTGAGTCGCGCGATAAGATCCTTGCCGTAGTTCTCAGTCAAATGCGGACACATACGAATAGTCCTCTATCGGCTTTTCCTTCGGTGGATCTCCTTGATAATTTGATTCAGTTCTTCCTTGCCAGCTCGGTGCTAAAAGCAAGCTCATGGATGCACTGTGCCAGCTTCCACCTGAGACAGGCACGACCGGAGTTACTGTTAGGGATGGCTGCTTATGGTGCAGTTCTTACTCCTGATCATGCACTCCGCAAGCTTGGATATGCCACTCAAGAAATTGTGCGCAGCCACCTACTGACTGTATTTGAAGAGGACAACACTCTCATTCACGACCTTCAACTTCAACAAGCATTTTTAATGCATCTCGAAATTGGGTTATGGAGCGGAAATAGTCGTAAAATGGAACTTTCTGAAAGTTCTCTACAGCCCTTATTAACAATGCTTCGCCGTCGAGGCTTTCTCAAACGATCAGGCTATCCGAACTTGACAGTGCTCCCTAACGACGAAGGCTTGGTTTTGGACAAGAAATGGCGCGAATGGGTCGGAAGAGAATCCAGAAAGAGATTAGTGTATGCAGTATGTGCCTACGATGCGCAATCTTCTATATCGCTTCTGGTGAGCCCACTTGTGTCCTACGCAGAGCTAGACCTCCCTTTACCCGAGTCACAAGAGCTCTGGTCGGCAGTTTCGGCTGTGGAGTGGAAAAGGCTTTATTGTCAAAGACCTGACCACACGTCTATGCGTCTCCCTTCACTTAACGACTGTGTTGCGAACCTGGATCTCCTTGAACTTAACAGAGCCACAATTGATTTGAGTCTTTCCTGCTCCGCCATCTTGTACGCACTATGGGGGCTGATATGGGAATATCGTAAGATAAGCCTGCTGTTCTGCCGTCAACCACGGGTTTGGGATAGGGGGGTGGCGATCCTATCCCGGCATCAAGAGCTTACCAAGGTCCTAGACTATTATCGCATGAAGTTTGGCGGGGAGAACTTATTACTCTTAGAGCTGATCTCGATGCATCTGCACATGTCTCTTGAGGAGATTCAGCTCTTTGTTGGCCTGGAAGGAATCGAACAAGCGGATCGAGTGTACGAATCGGTGAAGGAATGGGTAGGGAACAAGACGTCTCGACAAGCTGTATGGCATGCCGGCCAGGTTTTTCGCGCCACAAAGTCACTCCCTCCGTTGCATCTGAGGGATTTCTACGCCATCTGCCTTTTTCATGTAAGCTTGACGTTCTGGGCATATGGACTGGCATCACGAATGTTCGGTCCCGATGCCTCTGGTCAGAACACATCGGAAAGTGCTTCATTCCGACATCTTCTAGACCAGATCATTTGGTTAGATGGTGAAGAGACCGCAGCAACCTATCGATACATATCATTGGGCATAGGGAACCCTGGACTGCAAGGTACCCATCAGCACAGAGCACCCGCACGATTGAACGATCTATCAGCCATCATGGACGTTATCATTGAAACCATGAGTAACCATGACAGAGAACCTCTGCGACCGAATCCTCCTTTAGTCGAGAATTTGATTTCGATCATGGAACGACTAAAGAACATGACTCTCGGTGATGGTGTCGCTACTACCCCTAATAGGACTTCTAATAATCAATGAAATATCGTTCTAGCTTCTGGTGGTGGGAAGTTCTTCGTCCTACTTGTATGCAACATTGCTACATAGGCATGCAGAGGTAATAAAAATAAGAAATTTTGAAGCAAGAAGTCAAACCCACAATTCATACTATCAATAACATAACACACCGAAAACTTGAACTTCCACCTTTGTTTCAATTCGAGGCTAGTGTATACGAGTGCGCCTCAACTTAAGCATTTACCTGTCAGATGAGATGGTATCCCACGGAGAGTATGGTTATTGCGATGGGTTAGTTGAAATTCGTTTATTTGTTTTATTCTCTCCACGTCCTATATACATAATTGGGTCGTTATGCCCGAGACCTTGTGTAGTGACACGTGTGCTAGATACCAACCTTCGGCTTGTATGGTCGTTCATCTGACACTACCCAACCATATGTTGCCAACTTAGTGAAGTCACCTGCTCAAAAAGCCGTCTGAATACCCGCGAAGCGCTTGTTCTTAGGCTCTGATCTTCAGATCACCATTTTAAGGCTCCTAGTTATGAAACTAGTATCGGCTTTCCGTGGAAATTTGTACAGTCCATGATTAAGAACTGAGGAGGTGATGAACGGGTTGTTGGGTACAGAGAAGGACTCGAGGAAGTGTCTCAGATCACCCTATTACTAATAGACTAAACTTATCTCACTAACTACTTGGCGTAGCAAGGAGATTCAGAATCTCTTTAGACTAGCAGAGGAGTCAGCCATCCAATTCGATAGCTCAAAGACTGAACTAGTA